TAAAATAACATAAATAAATCTATAAATACAATAATTAAAAATACATAAATCTTGACATAACAGATGTCCAGACTTATAGGGTTATAATATAACTTAAAAAAAAAAACAAGAAGAAAAATAATAATAATAAAAGAAATCTATTGATTTACGCTACTACTGTTTACGGGGCTAATTTCTATTCTGGGGAAATAAGACAAATTGACTATAATGAAAGGCACTCAGCCCGGGATCGCTAAAGATGATCTTGGATTATGTTACGCGGAGAGCCCAAAAATAGTAGACAGGGTGGACTTCAGGTTCATAGTCACACAGAGTCATGTATACTTACACAGAATTAATAGGGCAGGCGTGGATTCATTACAAAGCAGCTCTAATATTTTCTTTATTAATATGAATCATCTATTCTTCCTTTAAATTCTTGAACTGTTGATGAGATATAATGCAAACTTTTATTTTTCTTTGAGAATGTAAATAATTATAAATATGAATATTTATTGTATTTTCATATTTTAATAAGGCAGCTTTAATCTCTTGACATAAGTAATTTCGATCAATATAAACTAAGGTAACTACTAATGAAAACTTGTCACTTTCAGTTTTTTGTTGGAGAATCTTTTTATGAATTATATTCTTAGAGTTCATTCATTTTTCCACCTCCAAAGGAATGACAATAAAGTTTTCACCTTCTTTTTTTATTGATTTTTTCTAGGCATTGCAATGCATCTTCTTCTTTCTCACAGCAGAACGTAATTCAAGCGTTTCTATTAAGAACATCCTTCTAAAGAGTTGAAAGTCTTTTGATAGACTTAGTGCATTTTGAAGATATTTAATTTTCTCATTTTCAGATTCTCCTAAAAGCCTAGATATAAGAATTCCCATTTTGTATTTGCCATTTTCTTTAATATGAAAGGGATTAATGTTGGAAGGAGATGGTCTATTTTTTGTCTCATAGGCAAATTGTTCTACGATATTATCTCCTTTAAACTTTTTATAATCTCCTCTAGAATATATTGCTTAAGAATTGTAGCTTTGACAAAGTTAGTCTGATCTACATTTAGAATTTGAGTGATAATACTATCCAGGATTGAGTATCTGTTTGATTTAGGAGCAAGGACCTGCATAGTTTCTGGAATAGCAGTTATATTAAAAATAGCTTGTGTTGTCTACAGTTTTTTATGTTGGTCAAATTTGTTTGATAGTTGAATCTGTATATCCATAGTATATGCTTTTCTCTTTTTTATTACTTGAATAATCCTATGTCTTTTCATTAACATGTTTAGATCACGTGATGCAGAAAAACTTATTGACTGTTTTGGTAGATGATATAGTCTAAAGTTTACGTGTTATCAAAATAAACTGTTGTTGTTTTGCTGTCACAGATCTTATTTGAAGGTGATTGACTTTTATCAAATAAAAAATAGATATAATGTAAGAGATTGTAAATAAAATATATTTGTTTTGGAGTTTATATTTGTCATGTGAGCTTGTTGTTGTGAAATTACTGACATGACATATTTTACATTGCATATTTTAGATGTAATCAGTTTTTGTGTTTTTTTGAAACTTTATTTTATTGAGCAAAAGAGATTTGGACATCTTTCTAGATGTTATAAACCTTGAACATATTTTTAATATTGTTTTTAATATATTTAAAAATTAATATTTTTTAAATATATTATAAGATATTAAATTAAAAATAAAAGAAGTAATATATTAAATCAATAAGTTAAATTTTTATTTTATTATAATTATAGTTTTTTTTATAGTTAATAAATTTAAATTATTTATTTCAAAAAATTTAAAGTAATTAAATATCAAGAATAATTAAAGTTTTAAAATTTAGTTTTATTTTTTTTATTATATTAAATATATCAATTTATGATTAATTTTTTTTAGTAAGTAATGATAAATTAATCATAAATAATTTATTTAATATATATAATAATTTTTTTAAAAAATGATATATTTAATTATTGTTAAAGTATAAATTATAAGAAAAACCATTTATTTGTTTGATTCAATTTTTATCAATTTTAATAAAATTGAAAATTACTTAAATGAACAATTTTTTTTAATAATAAAACAAGTATTTTATTTAATTTATATAATTATATAATTGTAAATTTTTAAATAATATAAAAAAATATATAAATTAAAATTATTTCTAAATAATCTTTCTATCTATAAATATTAAATAAAATATAAATAAGTTAGTTTTTTTAAAAAAATTAATATAAAATAATAAAAATTTATACTAATCTATAATAAATAAAAAAATAATATATTAAATAAATTTATCATTAAAATTTTTTATTAATTGTTATAATTATTTTATTAACTCTTAATAATTGATTTATTTTATTAAAAAATATTGAATATTATAAATTTGTTTTAATTGTTTTTTTATATTAAATAGTTTTTTTTTAATTTAAACTTAAAATAATATGTATATTTATTTTTTTTTATTTTAAAAAGTTTAATAATGTAATATGAATAAATAGATATCATATTGTATATTAATTATTAATTAATATGTTAAGTGAGTATAGGAAAAAAAAAATGTTTTTTTTTTTAAATTAAGATATTTCAAAATAAAATTAGAATAACTTGTAATATAAAATCTTGCTTTCAATTAATAAAATTTTTTTTAAAAATTACGAAAGTTTAGAATTCTAATATTAATTATTGATATATCAAATCTTATTAAGTACTCATAAGTTAATAATATAATCCATAATATAATTTATAATAAGGACTTATTTTTTTCCATAAAATTATATCGAATCACGATATCTGAAATATTGAAAAACCACAATTAGATATATTATTTATTTTTTTTTAATTTAATATTATCGATTACTCATCATCTAATAAATTATATGAAACAAAATATTTTTTTATCAACAATGAGATTTGAATAAAAAAAAAAATTTTTTTTTACAACCGATGTTGCGTATGGATTGCATATTCAAGAATTCAAAATATGGTGAAAAATTTAGAAATATAAAATTTTAGAAATAAAATAATTTTTTTTTATATATCTTTAAATAATTGATCGATTGTTTTATTATAAATTAAAATAAATATAAAATAAATAATTTCGGTCAACTGTACAAAGTACTGTAAACCAACACTTCTGCCTTATATTTAAGATAGTTACAGTATATTACTAAATATACCTCGGGTGGTCTTATTATTTTTAAAAATGGATTGTGACGGTCGCTGGTTACTTTCGCAAAGGGGTACTGTTTGCCGAGGAATACAGTAATTTAACTGCAGAGTAGTGCCATAAGCCAATGAATTAATAAACATTTTGGATTTCAACGGCATAGGAAATTTAATGAAATTAATTTTAAGTAGCCAATTAATAACAATAATAAAATACGGTAACAGTACTGCACATGGACCTGACCAAATAAATGTTTATACACCGTAAATACACCATATCTTCATTATATTAAAATAACTTTATCTTGTGTAAATTGACAAAAGCTTTTGATTGCTTTTGTGATTTTACCTTGATTATAATAATATATTTCGCATCTCGCGTTCTAACTATGATAATTGTTCAAGGTAACCTTCTTTTAATTTGATATCAATATTAACAGCAATGAACAGAAATTTTCAAAAAATTATACTTAATAACTACAGGTTTACTTCCTGTAATAAATTGATCGTGTGCTTTGTTAAAAATTCACGGGCTTAATTCTAAACATCGGTCTCGCACAAGCCTTATAAACAGTATATGTCCAATTCAAGCCATTATCATATAAATTATGATGCTCCCATTCGTTGAATTTCCTCCACCTAATCCACTCCTCCAGTCCCTCGCATTCGTAAGAACTTCTCATCCCTATACTCAATTGTACTTCATTCAGCTTTATCAAAGCATCATTCTTAAACATTGGAACGAGCATGTCCTTTTCAATATATCTGCATAACTTAAAAACGAGGCATTCTAGCACCTCACATTGTGCAATCCAGTAGAATACAGTGCTATCACCCTTGAAATTTGTCTTGTCAAATTCAATGTACTTCAGGCACGAAGTTTGAGTTGTCAAAGAATAAGTCGCCAACTTTTCGGAAATACCTCTGTACCGGAAGTGTGATAGAGAATTTTGAGACAAGATCAGTGAAGCCAGGTCGTCGCCTGGGATATGCTTTTTTCGAGTGGTGGTTCGGTAGAATGAGACATCAAGGCGTTTCTTCAATTAATACATTGTCATGATAATACGTTAAATTGATATTAAATGTGAAATTGCGGAATACGGGAACAGCGATAGTAAAGGGACTTACTAGATTATTGCAAGTGATGGCCAATTCGCCCAACAGTCTAGATTGTTTGATATTATAGGCCAAATCGCCAACTTTTAATTTTTTTATAGTTCCCAGATACTTCAAAATATCGGTAGAATTCATCAACGCGGCGTACTTGCAAGTCTGTTGCCAATCTTGTGTATTCCACTCGGGGCATACTAATTTCAACTTGGTCAGCACCGAACCCTTTCTAATAAATAGCCTCAAGAAAAATTGAGCTAGCACGGTGGTCTGGGCTTTAACCATCCGTCGATATCTATTTTTCCTGGTGCTATGTATCTTCATGTCACCCTTACTAAAGAATGGGCTACTCTTTGATTTCATTTGTGACCGAGTGTTAGGATTAAAAAATTTCAAATTTGGTGAATTGGTGGAAGTCTCAAGTTTACTACTCCAATCTCTCTCATACTTCTTACAAAGGAACGTCGAGAGATAGTACTTAATGAATCTCTCAATGGAAAAAATAAAACTAACATAGTCTAGTTTTTTTAAAAAAAATGGATATTCGAATAGTGGCGTCGTGTCGACGGCGGATTCAGGAAAATAAATATACCAAGCTTTCAAAGCGGATCTTTCGTGAAAATCAAAGAATTTTGAATAACAGAGTAACAATTTGGTTGAATTTGTTAAACAGTTTCGTGAATCTTTTCTGCCAAACTTCCACACCCGTTTAAACGGTTGACTCCAAAGAATATGAATCGCAACTCGACACCATGATCTGTTCACCAAGATGCAAGAGTGCAAGGTTGAAATCCCAATGTGGTTAAAGATATTCTCCAAAATTTCCGGCGGAAGAAGAGACATTATTTATAATTTTTTTTACTAAGCAAATACTTAAGCACGTACGTATAAGCATTATGGTGACACATCAATCACACGTACCATACACATGCGAGTGTAACGACGTATTGTCAATCAAGATTACGCAATTTTAAAAACGAATACAAAAGTGATGGTTCTAAAGTTTTCAGAATTCCAACAAATTGTTCCTTTGTCAAATAGACCAAAAACAAAAGGATAATGATTATAAATGAAAGAAAGAGTATAATAAAATTATAAGACCAAAGGGAATCATATCGTAGTACGTAATGTACTGTACGTGCAATGCACGATTGTGTAAATAAAAAAGATTTTCATATCAGATACGTATGCAGTACAGAATACGTACAGTACATACGTATGTGTAATTAGGGATATACGTACCGAAACGGCAATTTATTTCAACGAAAAATCGATAAAATGCCAAATCCTGTTACGGCAACTTATACAACTAATAAATGGACTCTTCCTTTGCCGAGAATTATAATTCTTCTAACCCTTACGAAAGGTATCTTCCTATCGAGTTTAATTACGCTATTCTTTCCATTTAGTAATTATCCCTTTTGATTCAAAAAGGGAGTACTTGCCAATAGAGAATTATGGATTGATTGGAAATTTACGTACAGTCGCTTTATGTGGCATAGATGGGTCGATAGATTTCATGTGCTATCCAAAGTTCGATAGCCCTTCAATTTTTGTCAAATTGTTAGATCATAAGAAGGTAACACAGTCGATTTTCTAATTAACATCGAGGAATTCATGTTCAAATGCTATTGTTATTATTATATAGGGAGGTAAGGGATCCTCATTAAAATTGTACTTTCTCTTTAGGATTCTTGATTTTATTTATTAATCGTCATCAATAATCATGTTATTATTTTTTATTTTTATTTTCAATCCTCCAAAAAAGGTCACTTTTCAATAGCTCAAACTGAATATAAAAGCAATAAACAACAGTATTGTCCAAACTCCAACATTCTACTGACGCGTTTCCTTGATGATAAAGGTGTTGGCGAAGTTACTGATTTTATGCACATTCCTGAAAAAAGTCACCGTGCCGCCCCAAAACAATTACTTCCATGGTTAATTCGTCATGTCGAGGTCGTTAGGGGAGAATCTGCCTTCCATCTCGAACTATTTCCCGCGTTCAATTATGCGATGGACTCCCATACGACTGAAATTGTTGATTATGAAGTTACTTCATCAAAAAAAGGAGACGTACACGAGTACGTAGGAAATAAAAGAGTTGTATTTTCTTCAAAAAGTCTACAAATGGATCTTAGATTTGTAATAGACGGTAAAGATATGGAGCCTCCGTGCATTGAATTTAGAACGATCGAGAGAGAGGGACTTAAGGGACCAGGCGTGATGGCAGATTTTGCATTGAAAGAGGGACAAAAGGTGGTTTTCATATTTAGACAAGTTCCGGTTAACAGCGATATCACAAATGTTGAAGTTCTGGATCCCGCGATTAGTTATCAATTTTTAAAGAATATGTTCAGAGAGACTCTAAATTTTTGGCAATCATGGATATCGCAATCAACTTATGTAGGAAGGTGGAGAGAATTCGTGCATAGGAGTGCATTGACATTGAAATTGTTGACCTATGAGCCGGTGAATATAACATTCATGGTTTTCCAATTCTCGGGTATTTATCTATGCTTAGGTTTTTAATGTGATTTCGTAGACAGGTGCGGTAGTGGCAGCTCCAACTTTTGGGCTCCCGGAAGGTTGGTAGCAGCGGTGGCAAGATGCCTCATTGTCGTTCAAGAATCGAAACCAGTTATTTACATTCCTATGAATTCTGTTTCGTAGAGATTGGAGGTTTAAGAAATTGGGACTACAGGTATATGTGGATTAGAGATTCAGCATTCACAGTTTACGCATTGATGAGACTAGGAATGACCGAAGAAGCAAAGAATTATGTCAGATTTATGGAGGAGAGGTGTCATGATTTGGTGAGAGAAAAATTTCTTTCTGACTTTCACTTGCCATTATTGTTTTAGTAGACTGATGGTTCTCATAGAATGAAGACGGATCATTAAACATAATGTACACCATCGAGGGTCAAAAAGAACTAAAGGAAATAGAACTTGATCATCTAGATGGATACCGAGGTTCTCTTCCGGTGCGCATAGGAAACGGAGCATACGACCACTTGCAACTTGATATTTATGGGGAACTCCTGGACGCCTTGTATTTGTATAATAAATATGGCAGTCCGATCTCTTATGATATGTGGTTGATTATCAGGAAGTTGGTGAATTATGTGTGTGATAACTGGATGGTAAAGGACATGAGCATTTGGGAGGTTAGAGGGAGGAAAATGAATTTCACTTATTCTAAAATCATGTGCTGGGTGGCTGTCGACAGAGGTGAGTTAATATTGATGAATAATATGTTAGGCTATTCTCTTCTTTTTTTTTTTTTTAGTCATTTCCATCAAATAATGAAAAGGACTGAGACTGTCGGAAAAACGTGTGCTTCCGTGCCCTGATCGAGATAAATGGTTAAAAGTCCGTGACACAATTTACGAGGACATCATGACAGAGGCATGGAACCCTCAGCGAAAAATATTCACCCAATCTTACGAGTCAAAAGAAGTATTGGACTCTTCCGTTTTAATTATGCCAATGGTGTTTTTCATTAGTCCGACTGATCCAAGATTGTTAAACACCATTAAGCAAATTATGCTGCCCCCCGATAAAGGTTTGAATAGAAACTTTGCAATGGTGAAAGTTTAAATCTTGTATTGATATATATAATTTACGTAGGAGGATTGACTGTCAACAATCTTGTATTCAGATATAACACATCGGACACGGATGATGGTAAACACTAGCAAAAAAATTTACAAGTGTTCACATGATACTTCCCTTCAGATCTGACTTTAACTTAAATTTTAGGATTGGATGGTTCTGAAGGCTCATTTTCCATGTGCACATTCTGGTTGGTCGAAGCGTTAACACGGGCCGGGAAATACGATAAGGAGTTGTTGGAAAAAGCCGAATTCATATTTGAGCAGATAATCAAATACGCCAATAATTTGATGTTGTTTAGCGAGGAGATTGCAAAGAGTGGCGAGTTGCTGGGTAATTTTCCGCAGGCGTTTACTCATATCGCCTTTATTAGCGGTAGGTATCATTTCAAAATTTCAGCTGTACTTTGTCAAAAAAAAAAAAAATAATGCTAAAGAATTTTTATTTATAGCCGCTTTTAACTTGGATCGCGTGTTGGGTAAATCATAGACGTCCGTGGCTGATGTTTAAGCATATCCGAATACTAAAATTTAGATATTGTATATTGTTGTTTTTTACGCACATTCTAATAATTTGGTTGGTTTATTGTATATTTACAGAATTTATGTCCTGTATTTTCATCACCTAATTATGTACGGTGTTTAACAGATAGTGTTGCTCACAAATTCTTGTCAATATATGAGATGAAAAATCATGCAGTAAAAACGACTGGGATTGCGTAATATAAAATCGAACTTCTATTCACTGAATTCTCAAAACTGATATACTGTATATAATCCCGTAATTACTAAATAGCAAATATAAAGAGGTAGTTGGTTAAAGGAGTTTTATCCTCATTGTTTGTTGAATTCAATCGAATATTTATTGCCATTATTAAACGTAGATTCGCAAATTCACGATTTAATTATATCATAATCCACAAAATTTAAGTGACATTTCATTGAAAAAAAAGAATCAATTTTGTATGTGCACGTATTTATGATAAAAATATAAATCATTTAACATTTTTTATAAGATTAATTTATCGATTTTAATTAGCTTGTGAAAAATCAAATCGTTCGTTGATAATAAATTTAATATATTTAATTAAAACCATATCACCTATTTTTACTTTTTAATGAAAACCCCATTTTTAAAGACTTTAACAATAATTATGCATCTTGAAGGCAAACAATTCGTCAAGAATATATATATTTGACCTGCAATCATGTCATCATGGCATGTATTATTGAAACATTAGGTAAACATCTAATAAGTGATAAACTCTATATAATGATTAACTCATTAGTTAAAGGATCACATTACTTAAAAAATACAAAAATTATATTAAGCTAGTTTAGATCAAATAGAATGAAATTTCAATTAGATACTCTAAGTCAGATTTAAAAAAATTCTTATACTTTTCTAATAGTTTAATATTCGATTTTTAATTACTAGAATATTATTATTAATTTATTATTATTAATTATTCTAAAAAAAAATAAATTTTTAAAGATTAAAAAATAGAGAAAAAAAATTAATTCAAAAATTATTTAAATTATTTTTTATTTGTTTAATAACTTTCTTTTAAAAAGAATGTCTCCTATAAAGAATACTTAGAAAAGGCAGATACATGATGATTGACTTAGCTGAGGATAAGTGTCTCTTTATTTGTATTCTGTTTCTTTTATATACTATAATACTAACTTTTATCTCTATTCACAATAAATGCTATTTTTTTAACACATTCATCACTACTTTCTCAGCTTATACTAGTAAGCTATTTATACTTTTCTAACTAACAATGGACTATTTACTTTACAATAGGTTATACTAATCCCAAACTTTGCCAAACTTTCTATACTTTGTCAGATACACATAATTCCCTTATCAATACCCAAGCCTCAATCCATAGTTTCTTATTTCATAACATTAACACTCAATCTTTCATACCAAACCTTCAAGTTTTTAGGTTTCAGATCATTATATGTAAATTGTGTCACCCATATGACCTCTGATAATAGATACATTATTTAGTTTTGTAATATTTAAAAACTTGATTATTTTAAGTAAAAAACTTCAAGAAAATTTTCAAGAAACTTATTTCTCTATTATTGTATAGATTCACTTATTAGAATTATTAATATTATAAAAGAATTTATCTAATTAAAATAAAAAAATCATTTTAAAAACTTTATCTAACTAAAATAAGTTTTAAAATTTTTAGTTTTATTATCTAAGAAATTTAATAATATATAAAAATCAATAATTTATATTATTTACTACTTATATTTCAATATCATAATAGTTTTTCAAAAACTTGGTTATTTAAAATAAATTCTTTCAAAACTTTTTTTTAATTAATAATATTATAAAAAATATAAGTATAACTAATAAAAAATTTTTTATATTTTCAAAATTAATATATTTTATTTAATTAATTACCTTTAATAAGAATTATACTATTTAAAAATTTAAGTATAAATTGAAATAAACAAAGTTTCTTAGAAAATAAAAAATAAAAAATTTAAAAGATTATATAATTAAAAGAAAAAAAATAAATTGTTTTATTATATACCACTCTATAATAACTTATTTAAAAAATAATTAGCTTTTAAATATTATAATATTGATTTTTTTTTTCAAAATAATTTTTTATTATAAATTTTTTTGAATACTGATTTAACCTTATTTTATTTGAATTAAGTAGCAATATACATATTATTTATACTAAGATTATTTATATTAATCAAATTAATTTAATAGTGTAAACACATCTCATGCCCTATTTCCATCCTATTAAAAATTAACCAATAAAGTTTGAACTAGTACTATATAAAATTGTGAATATATGAGATAGCTATATAATATTTTTATAGTATTTTTTTTTTTTTAAACCTATGGTTAGGCTAGCATAATGTGTTTAATAATCTTTAAGAAAATCAATAGAGATACATTGGATAATTATATCATGGCTAAGCTAAATCTCATACTGACTTATTCATTAACAGCTTTCAATTTTCAAATAAGCTTAAGCCTTTATGTGTAACCTTGGGGACAATATTTCACTCTGGAATAAGTTTTGAATAAAAACTCTCCTAACTTATCCATAAATATAGGCAAATTGTTACTACCTATTATTCTTCAAGAAATTGATTTCGAGAAACTACAATAGGGGAAAAAGAAAATAAAAGAAAGAGAGATATCTAAAAATATACAAATGTACATATATAAAGAGAAAAAGAAAAAAGAAAAATAAAATTATTTCATATCTTCCAAAGAACATTTGTTAAAAATTCTCCTCTCATTAGAAAACAACCCTTCTGAGATATTTTTCTTCTTCTTAACTATCTAAGGAACTTATATATTTGTGATCTTGATTATTTTCTTGCAATTGTAAAAAAAAAAAAAACTCTTTCTACTGATCCCCTTTTTCCTTAAAAATTTCCTTTTTTATTAATTTTCTTGGAAAAGAAAAGCCAGCCTAAAAACATTTTATTCCTCAAAGATTCAAGACTTAACAACAAACTAGAACATCCAACCATTGCCCCAAGAGATTACTTTATCGATTAAAAGAAGTTTTGGTAGTACAGCATTATACTAGCTTTATTTTACAAGGGAAGAAAAACACATTTGCAAGCTGATTCACAGTAAGCTTAGGAGAGTCCAATATCAACTCCCCAACTTCTAGCCAGGCCAGTGTTGGTTTACATCTTTCTAGGCACTAGAAGGAAGTTTACAAACAATAGTTCCTCCTAATAAATCAGAAAAACTCAAAGCTTGCAAAGCCCAAAAGGACATTAAAGGTTTATAAGAACTAAACAGTAGAGTACTCTAATTCTATACATACCTGCCTAAACATCAAAACAAGTTACACGAATATATACACATCAAACAATTTAGAATTAAAACAACATAGCAAGGTTTATTAAGTGTCTACAAATAAACGACTGATTTTTCATAACAAAGAAGATCAACATCAAATCCAGAATATAAATAAGAACTAAACAGGAAGGATCAACAACTCATCCAAGTAAACAAGATACCAAACAAGACAACAAACAATCAATCCCACATACCTTGCTAAATATAAACAAATAAACAAATTAAGGATAAACAAAACAACAAATCAGTATTTTATCCTTCTTTACATATGACCAATATGACAAAGAAATGGAGAATCATGCAAATTGCCAAGAAGAGAGAGCTATACATTCTCAATACAATAGTTAGAATAGCTGAGAAACATGACCAGAGAAAAGAGATATGGATTACCCAAATCATCTTCAACACTCTCACTACACAAAACAAGTTTAATCAGATACCAAGACCAACAAAATACTCAATACTTGATAGTATTCTTGCAAAAATTTTAAATATAGATCCAACTACATTTATCAAAGCAAAGACCTTAAAACACACATCCTATACTTATGGCACAAGGTCAAAAAAGAGAAAAAGATCTTATAGTACCTTTCTTGAAAGAAAAAGTCAGACGCATCTTGGAGCAAGATATCTTCACAAATAATCATCCCCTCTATATTCCAGTAAATTTTCATACCAAGGATGAGTTTATAAACTCCATATTAGGAAACTCAACTTCAGTTAAGAACATCACTCCAAATGAAGACATGGAAGTTCAATCAACAATCAATATTGAAATTTCAAATAACATTGAAGTTGAAATGTGTAATAAGAACATGAAAAAAGAGCTGAAGAAAGAACTTGAAATGGTAAAAATTCAAAAAAGAGTTGAAGAAGAAAACATAGTGGAACAAATTTCCTACAATACACGAAACAGACTCAAGCCATCCAGTTTAAATCCATTTCATATCACCAAAAAGGAAGAATTCAAGGTTGGAATCATTACCTTCAGAATATCAGGAGATACAGAAAAAGAATGATTAGGCTATTTATAAGGTGTCTTGAGTCTACCTAAAGACATACTACCATTCAAAAAAGACTTTCTCAATGATAATATCTGGACAACTTTTACTTTTGAGGAAATGGAAGATACCTTACAATGTATAGAGAAGATTAATAAAAAAGAAGGTGAAAACTTTATCTTGATTCCTATACAAGCAAAGAAATGGAAAACTTCATACTTATTACCAGAAAAGAAATTCTTTAAACAAGAGGTAATAGAAGAAGTAAACAAGACAATAGTTGTCACATTGATAGATCTTGACCGTAGTCATACTCATCAAGAAATGAAGGCTGCCTTACAAAAACATGGAAAGGTTATGAGTATCCATATTTACAACTACTCTTACTCTCAAAGGAGAATCAAAGCATGACTCATTACAAATCAGCAAGACTTGGAGGATAGATAGTTTATTCATATCAAAGTAGATACCTTTAGAGCAATTTTTATTTAATATGAACTAAATAACCATGAAGTCGATAACATTTTCAAAAACTGTAACAATCAATTTTTATGACTGTATAGTATTCACAATACCTTCACAAATCTTATAGCAAGGGCAACACAACATGTAGGGACCAAAGCA